CCGTACTCGCACCACCACCCTCCCCCGCCCACCGCCACCGCCCCGCATCGCAACAATGACCCCGCCGCTCTCCGCCACGCTGCAAGCGTGGAGCATGCAGGGCCCGGCCCTGCTGCGCGCCGCCCTGGCCGCCAAGGACGCCGAGGTGCGCCGCGTGTGCGCCGAGCGCGACGCCCGCGCGGCCGAGTGCACCCAGCTGAGCGCCTGCGTCGAGGAGCTGCAGGCCGCCGTCGACCAGCTCGTCGCCCTCTGCACCGCCCAGGTCGCGGAGCTGGCCGAGCACGAGCACAAGCACGCGCCCGAGCACGGGCACGCGCGCGGGGCCGCCACCACGAAGCTGGAGGACGCGGAGGCCGAGGCCGAGCACGTCAAGGTCGCCATGGAGAAGGACCACCGGCCGGCGCCGCGGTACAAGCCGCCGCTGAGCTTCACCGCCACGCTGCACGACACCGACGTGGACGTGGACGCGCTCGAGGGCGTGCGCGCGGGGGATGTCGGGGTCGAGGACCTGGCGGCGCGCCGCGTGTCGAGGCGCGACGCGCCGCGGATTACGCACGGGGAGAAGGTGGGGCGGCGGGAGTCGTTCTCGGGCGTGAGCTCGGTGTCTTCGAACCGGGCTTCGACAAACGTGACGCTGCCTTCGTCGGCGGCGGATGAGGCGGCGGCGGATAGCGCGCAAGTGTGGGACGGGCTGTTCGATGACAAAGCGTCGCTGCGGTCGGGCGACGACTGGAAGCACGCGCACGAAGCGGGGTGGGAGCGGTGGCGCGGCAAGACCGAGGTGACGGCGGGGTCGAGCGAGGAGCAAGACCCGACTGCGTCGGGCAGCGCGGAGGAGGAGCAGACGGCGGACGTGTGGCGCGGGGACCTCCCCGCGGACGTGCAGCAGTTCACGATGGAGGAGGAGGGGCAGGTGCAGCTGCCGATCTTCGCGCGGCCGGACAGCAAGTACGTGGGGGTGGGGGCCGGCGGGCAGTGCGTGATCCAGGACGCGGCGTTCTTCGCGGCGGGGGCGCGGATGCCGTGCGAGATGACGGTGGCGCTGGCGCCCGAGGAGCTGGACTCGTACCTGACGACGTTCATCCACTTTGAGTACCCGGACGGGACGATGCTGCCGTTCATCCCCGTGTGCGACATGCGGGTCAAGGGGGCGGGCGGGTCGGACCGGGCGCGGCTCGGGCACGACATGCGCGGGCTGCTGCGCAGCGCGTCGTACGGGCGCGACTACGTGCGGTTGCAGCTGCGCGCGGGGACGTTTGCGGCGCTGTTCGACAGGGCGCGCGCGCTGGTGAGCGAGCTGTACCCGGACGCGACGCTGGAGGAGGTGTACCTCCCCAAGGCGGACGCGGAGGCCGTGGAGCTGTTCGCGCAGCTGGTGTCGCCGCACCCCGTGATGCGCGGGCAGCGGTGGGACGCCAGCATCGCAGAGCTGCTGATGGAGAGCGAGAGCGACATCGCCGGCGAGGGCACGCTGCTGCTCCGCCTCCTCGAGGGGCATGGCAGTATCAAGCTCGACTTCGTGCTCCACCGCATGCAGATGGAGGACGACGAGGGCAACGCGCGCGCAGTCGTGTGAGGGGATGCGGTGAGGGGATGCGGTGAGGGGATGCGCGGCGCCGCGCGTGG